TGTTCTTACGTATGTGTCCCCTTGGTCTTCAAAGAGATGAGAATTAGAAGAAGCACTGCGCTTCTTCTGAATGATAGCGTCTGTTGGATTGGCAAGGGTTTCACTGTAGAGATACTATAATTATCTAGTTTGTCTGTATAGGAGTTGTACGATAATCTGTCTTTCCACGCCCATAATAATACACTGTTATACGACTTGCCTTATTTATGTGCTATGCACCCAATGTTCATGACGTTTTGGGTCACTAAATGTTAATTTTACCCCCCCCCCCCCCATGTATTAATGGAAGCGCAGTTCTTGCATGGCGTCGTGGGAGACCAAAATAAAGCTCCACTGAGGGTGGCGACCCTGAATGTGCATAGTACGTCAGTTAGGTTCTGAATGGAGGACTCCGGTTTATCGTTGCCACTTGTTGTTTCCAATTCTCTTTGTGCTATTTCTAAGAAGAAGCAGAAAGGATGTTTGCTTTGTTCAACTATTTCTATAATAATATTTTCATTTGCTGCAGAACCCCACTCCACCTTCGCTTGACCTGTTGTTTTTTTAAAATCACTTCTTTATGATATGTACTTTTAAAAATAAAAAAACGAATTAAAAGAAGGGCCTTTTTGAGTCCCCTTTTAAAATTGTACTCATCAAGCAAAGTGTATATCTTATTAGTTATCTCTTTTGAACGTAGATGCCTAAATGCTTTTTATTTCAAAATAAAGAACTGATTAGTTACCTCGCATCTTAGCTCAAGCCGTTACTGTCCTAGTCGTTTAATGTAGTGTGATCTTAAAAATAAGCCACCAAAAAATAATTTTAAAAATACAAAAATGAAACAAATAAATAGAGAAATAGATACATAGATACATGAATAAATAAATAAATGGATAAATACTTGTATACTAAAAAGAAATAACACAGCAACAACAACATAAGCATCTTGTAGATCAATTGTTCACAGCAATAACAGGACAAACATAATTTATACGCTACCATTATCAAACATTAGGCCGTACTTGTCGACTGCAGAGCATAAGGCACAGTGTATAGCTCAGTTGACACTAAGCTAGGTTAAATGATATCAATGATCCTGGTTGAAATCCACAATTGTAGTGATCTTGAACTATTTGAGGAGTTTTCCAGGCTCTCTGCATATTTGGCTCGGTCCCAACGAAAATGTTCGTAAAAAACATATGTCTTGATTACTTTATTTTTCTCTTCCGGTGATACCGTTGAACAGACTTCCAAATGTGTGGCAATGTGGTGAAATCAGGGGTTGGTCAAAATAATGAAATCAAAGACACTGGCATTTTCCCCCGCCTGTAGGGCATTTTTTAATGATTAACATTTTTGGGGGGCTCAACACCTTTTATGTCCATTTAAAACGCTTTTCTACGAGGATTTCACGGGAAAAAACGTCTACCAATGGTAAAAAGAAATTTCTAAAATGTGAATTGGCAGTTGCCAAGGACAGTCAAACATTGGAAATCACCAAACATTTTCGATAATTTTCTCGCTAATTTAAACTCTGACATCAGGCTACCCAAACCTCCTTCAATTGCAAAATTCTCGACTTCTATTCTAGATAGATGATTTTTTTCCAGGGAAAGCAAAATAAAGAACAGGCTTTAACCTGCTACCAATAACTCTGTAAGCTCAAGAATTGACGAAGGCCTGATTCCGCCATATCGTGACATATCAGTTACACAAATGTTCAAGACAATTAAAGGGATGTAAGTCCAGCTTGGTTCCTTAATAATCTTACAATGTTGAAACGAGCGCAAAACCCATACAGTAACTTTCTTCAAAAACATTTCAGAGGCACGAGACAGCAGCAAATGCTTCAATAAACGCCATCACCAACCATCATGAAGCTCTTCTCGCACATCGTCCACATCTCCGCTGCTGCCTGTGTTCTCCTGTGTCTACTAATTGTCTGCGTGGACGCCGTTCTGTGGGAGACGGCATCGTACCGAGTTCGGAGACATTACGAGCTCACCAAGGACACAAATCCTGTCTCGCTAGAGAGACTGAGAGTTATTCTAGACCTGGATCCAAACATAGTTTTACAGGTAAAGTTTTGGAAAGATTGGAATAATTAATCATATATTACTGGGTGGTTGGTTAACCGGTGCTCAGGCGTTGTTTGCTCCTTCTTTCCTGTCACAGATACGTTTTTGGGAAGATTGAAATAAATAATACGGCTGGGTGGGTGGTTGGTTGGCAGGTGCTCTCGTGTGGTTTGCGTCGTCTTTCCTGTCACAGGCTGGTGGGTGCTCTGGTGTGGTCACATCCTTCTTTCCTATCACAGGTAAGTTTTGGGAAGATTGAAATAAATAATATGGCTGGGTGCGTGATTGGTTGGCTCTGGTGTGGTTTGCTTCTTCTTTCCTATCACCGGTTGGCAGATGCTCTAGTGTGGTTTGCTTATTCTTTCCTATCACAAATAATCTTTGGGAAGATTGAAATAGATAATGTGGCTGGGTGGTTGGTTAGCAGATGCTCTGGTGTGGTTTGCTCTTTCTACTCTATCAAAGCTCTATCTCTCCTCCTTTTTTTGTTTGTTACTTTCTTGTAACACCTCTGATCTTCGGTACTTAAATGTGTTGCAAGGTCTGTAAAACTCTTGCGAAAACTATAATATTACCCCAGCAGATCATAGAACAAGATCATAGAACATTCCGAAACATTCTCAGCTTCCCGGGAAGCATACAGCGCAAGCAGCTCAAACACTAACAAACTGACAAGATCTTTCGCTGTCTATAGCCGGGTACCCATTCCCACCTAGGTGAAGTGAGGAAAATTCGGGTAAAGTGCCTTTCCCAAGGACACAACGTCGGGTCCCTGACGGGATTCGAACCCACGACCTTACGGTTGCGAGTCCGAGAGCCTAACCACTAGGCCACCGACGCCACAATAATAACAACAACACCGACCGGTCACTTCTCTGGGCTGCGGGCCTACAAAAATAGAATGGACAAAACATCGGACCCAACCTGTCCATTGTGCAGCGAGGAGCCCCAAGATTTGGAGCACTGGCTGCAGAGATGCCCCGCCACGAAGGTCCGGCGGTGGCATTTCTTCGGGGAGGATTCAGGGAGGTTGGACTGCCTCACCCGCTACCCAAGGGAGGCAGTGGCCTTGGCGAAGAGCAAACTCTTCGGGGCTTAAAACATTTCGAACGGATAGGTTACCACACACACACACACACACACACACACACACACACACACACACACACACACACACACACACACACACACACACACACACACACACACACACGCAACAACACCGAACAAAAAGGGTCCCAAACAACACAAACAACACATCAACGACAACCATTCAGTCATCCACTTTTCCTCCCCAGGACCGTGGCAACTTGAGCACAGCCCAGGGTACCGTCGTGAAGCGCCTGGTGGAGGAGTACAACGGCACGGCTCTCCGCGACTCACAGCTCGACATAAGTCTTAGACCTAACGGCCGGATCGACAGGCTGGGAGGGAGGCTCACGCGGGTACACGCTTTGTTGTTGTTGTTGTTGTTGTTTTTGTTGTGTTGCTGTTGCTGTTGCTGTAGTAGTAGTAGTAGTAGTAGTAGTAGTAGTAGTAGTAGTAGTAGTAGTAGTTGTTGTTGTTGTTGTTGTTGTCGTTGTTGTTGTTGTTGTTGTTGTTGTTGTTGTTGTTGTTGTTGATGATGATGATGATGTTGTTGTCAGTGTTATTGTTGTTGTACGATTGCTGTATTTCTGCTGTTGTTGTTTTTGTTGTTGTTGTTGTTGTTAACACATTTGTTAATGTTGCTGTAGCTGTTGTTCCGTAATAGTTGTTTTTGTTGTTGTTGCTGTTGCTGTTGCTGTTGTTGTTGTTGTTGTTGTTGTTGTTGGTAGTGGTGGTGGTGGGGATGGTATGTGTTGTTGGTGCTAAAGAGTCTAGGCTGCTGTAGTTGCGTTTCGTGTTTGTTGTTGCCTTTTGCTAAAATTTATTATCTAATATCCGAATGCCCATCTCCAAATATGTGTACTACATGTATTTTGGATGTTATCTGGATTACCAGTGTTGTTCATTTTATGACTTTTTAGAATGAATGGATGAACTCGAAGACGCTTGATTTTAAAAAATCTATGACGATTCTTCTCAGCGGTTATAATAACGCGCTGTGCTTTTGTAAATGTTTATTTTAATCCATATAAAGACAGGAGTCTGGTATTTTGATTTATTTTAGTAAGTGTATACTTAAGCCTCACCATTCTTAAAATAAATCGAAAGAGCCTTTTGTACATGCTGTCATAGCTACCCACACGTGCTCCCCCCCTCCCCTTCAACTCCACCGCTCCCCTCCCCTACAGAGAGTGGAGACCCCTGATGTTAGTAGTAAGGCGAGTAAGTTCCCGAATGGAAGGCTCAAGTAGACTTTTACCTTGAGTTATTCGTGGTGATCTCTACTGCTTTTAAAAAACATGCTGTTGACAACATTATGTAATTTAATTGCGACATTAGAATCACAAAGTTCTGTCAGCTCAGTACCTTGTTTTTAGAAATTTGACGTAAAAAATAAAAATGAGTTTCACAATAGGTCATGCTTTTGGAATGCATTTCTTAGAATAACTTAAAAACGATTCCAAATAATCTTACGATTTTGATAGAGCAGACAGAACATTTTGTTTCTGACCTCATGGTCTTAAATCGTCAGAACTTTGTAACTCTAAGGTAGCGTAATGTAAACTGCATTTTTCTGCTCTATGTACAGTTTACAATCGTTCACATTTTGCGACTATACCTTTAAATAAAAACTTAGAATGACACGTGTGTTGCAATATTGATATTTTTTCATTACTTCTGAACTTGGTCAACTTGCCTTGCCCCAAAGTAATTACTAGTGGGTGGCTGGCGGGTGCTCTGGTGTGGTTTGCTCCTTTCCAATCAAACATATTTCGACCTAATTTCACATCCTTTTCTTTTGCGTTTGTTACTCTCTTGAACACCTATAATCTTTTACCTAATTGTGTTGCAACACAGTAATTACTTGCAACTTTTTTCCGCACTTCATGTTCGCAGGGCCTGGAAAAAGAACTGAAAGAATTAAACAGAGATTGTCACAGAAGTAAAGCTGAGATTATAGCTATCATCGCAGAGAGTGAAGGTGTCGAGTACGATGCAGTAAGTAGATTATAATCAACGTACTATTCACTTTTCCCGATGTTTATAACGTAGAAGCTCTATCAGTGCCCCAACAAGACGGTGGACACTAACTCTCTTTCTTAATTAAATGATGTCCTGAATTCCTTGTAAATCACCTAAATGTTGTCAACATGGTCGTAAAAAGGTGCTGGTGGTCAGAGGGCACCAGTGGCAGGTGCTACTTCTTTTTTCCCCTTTGTTGTTTCTGCCCATTCATCTCCCCTTTTCCCTGCTCTAAATGGCCATTATCGTGCCAGTGTGCCTCTCTTTACTCTATCAAACACACACACACACACGCACACACACACACACACACACACACACACACACACACACACATACATACACACAGGAAAACAAAAAAAATATATGTGGTGTGTGTACACCCCGCCACCACCACAGCAATTTTTTGGGGGGGGTTTTCGTGGTCTAGAGGTTACGGTGTTCGCCTATCATTCAATAGGGTTCGGGTTCGAAATCTGGCAGCGACGGAAAACTTTCTTCTCTAAAATATTCTCCTTTCACCTCCTTTCCTGCCCTCTCAAACAATGTTCTGTCATTTGCTGTCGTCTCCACTTTCTGCCCCCCCCCCCCATTTTTGCCCCCTCTGGGCTCCTGGGTCTTTCTGCAGCCTTTAATACTGCTACTCCTTGGCCCCTTCTTACTACTGTCTTTCAGCCCCCCCCCCCCCTGATCTTACGCTAGGTAAGATCGAACACCTAGCCTTCTCGGATAAGGGCGACAAAAAACCATGGAGGCCCCGTGTGCAAGTTGTCCTTGGTGATCCTAAATTCGTGAAGAGAAGGCTTAGGCTGCCACCCGGGCAAAGTTCAAAATTAATTTCTACCCAAATGAAAATGCTTAATGTGTCCCGCGGGCTCATATGACCTTACACAGTTGCGAGCGCCGTAAGAGTCTTACGAAAAGGAAAAAAAAACCCAACTTACCAAAACAAAAACCAATATTTCTACAGACAAATGTGCGAAAGTCTTCAAGGAGAAACAACTACGACCTCACTGAGTCAGGAGAACCCCTCTTTGTGGCCAGCCTGGATGTATTTTTCACAGACTCGAATAGCGAGAACAGCTCAAGGGCTATCTACCATGTGGACCTCTGCAATGGGTGAGTATGTCGGCCAAGCGCCCGTGTTGCTAAATGGTGTTGGTGCACTTGCCCGGAAAGAAATCTACTTGTGTGTGTGTGTGTGTGTGTGTGTGTGTGTGTGTGTGTGTGTGTGTGTGTATTGCTGTTATTGTAATGATTGGGGTTGCTGTGTTGTTGCCCGGCCTAAAAAATGGTCTAAATTGTGTCGAAGGGGGCGTAAAAGCACTTACATCAATCTGCTCCAACATCCTCAAAATCATGTATCGATCTTGGGCAGTAAAGAAAAACAAAAAACAAAAAACAAAACATAAATCGAACGAGGTACATATTTGGCTAAATGGGATGCAAGCACCAATATATTTTTTATCTGTTCGGAAAATTTGGATAACAATGCATTGCCGAAAATGACGAAATACTGCTGTTGCTGCTGTTGCTGTTGCTGCTGTTGCTGCTGTTGCTGCTGTTGCTGCTGTTGCTGCTGTTGCTGCTGTTTGCTGCTGTTGCTGCTGTTGCTGCTGTTGCTGCTGTTGCTGCTGTTGCTGCTGTTGCTGCTGTTGCTGTTGCTGTTATTGTTGTTGTTGTTGTTGTTGTAGATGATGATGTTGTCTTTTGATGGAGTGGTAATGGAGGGGGGTTATCGTAGTTGGAGTAAATCTGCCACATTCAAAAGAACAATGACGTCTTTGTTGCGGCTTCTTTAAAATGAGAAATATCAAAATTGGCCTGTGACAACGAATAATCCAGTTTCTAGATACTACAGTATTGGAATTTTACAGCACTTCGAAGACACACTACTGCAGACTTAAACAGATTGGGGGGAAAGGGGGGGGGGGGTAAAATATGCTGATGTTGCTGGAAAATACTCTCTCTTACATTTCTATTATGCCATTTTTACAGCTGTATTATTTCTGCAAATGTAATGTCCTAGCCTCACCTCCCTTTCCAACGTCATATATTGCAAATAAATATTAATTATAAAGACTACAATGTCGGGAAATGATGAACTTGGTCAAGGGTTCAAATCCTTACAAAGGGCAGCCTGTTTTCCTAAATGTTCCTTCTGCCCGTTATGCCTTCTTCATAATTTCTCTGTCTTACAGGAAACCCATTACCCCGTCTTCAAAAAACAAAACAAATAAAAAACAATCAACAACCCCTTCCCCCTCCCGTAAATTGTATACAAACATACGGGTAGACATTTTACATCCCAATGGACTTATTTAGATCAGTGAGAATGCTGTCTGCTCGGAGTCTCGGCTGTCAGGACCTGCCTGGGCTGATAGGGCAGAAAGGAGTAGATACTGGATATAAAATTATTCCATAAATAGTGTAATTTGAGGCGATTATCTTCACCATCTCTTCTTCGGCTCTGAGGGGTCAAAGAATTGATTATGACCTAAAAATGAGGTTATTTTTCCTCTGGTTGACCCAATCATCTGTTATCTAATATGGTGACAGCTTGCTGCTGAAATAGCTTGATCTTTGGCTAACTTTGACCTGTTAGAATTACATTGATAAAGAAGGAACGTAGCACTTTACTGGTTTTGGTTGTTATAACAGGCTGCGCATATAAGCGAATGGGTGCCTCTGTGTGTTTGTTTGTTTGTGTGTGTGTGTGTGTGTGTGTGTGTGTGTGA